GAATTGGGACACTCCGATCAAAGGAAGGTTTCGTGCATACCATTCTTGAAATCCTTTTCTACAAGTCTACATCTCAAGTGTATGGCGTCTACTTTGCCACCCAAAGAGGCAAAAATGGAGTTTGGGTTGAGTTTTCTTTAAGCAAAAAAACCGTGTTACATCTAATGTCCAAGTGCTTTAGAATTCATCTTAATGGCGCCAAATTCTGTAAACTAAGTGAGGGGGAATAAAATGTCTTTTTGCTCGCTAACGCTTGCGTTGGCAGAAATCACCAATTGTCGATGCCTTAACAGCACACGACGATCAACCGCCACTAGTCAAGATTGGACCCACCTTCCCCAGAAAAGGACTCAATTAAGTACTATAACTGCAAGCAATTTCACCTTATTTATTCCTCTATGGATTTACTTTACTGGGTGAGTTCCTTCCCAGTTAAGGCGATGTGAACTCATACCCTGAAAAAATGCATAATGCAAGTATATCCCTTGATTATACCCATTTTTACTCATACAGAGGGGTCTAAATAGGGCCTGTATTAAACTGTGGTGACACAGCATTAAAGTTGTCATTATTCTTGGATCAAAGATGCATCCAAAATGACAAAGATCATAATCTTAAGAAACTACCTCGACTGTAGTACACAAATCCGTATTCAACCAATTACCCTTTAGCGAAACTAAAAGCATCCTTATGCAGTACATTTTCATTTGGCTACGAAGATGAAATTTACTTATCAAGGGAAGAGAGGAGACAATTTATAAGGAGAGCATTAAGATTCATGCTCAAAAAGATGCATAGGCTCTGTAATACAGGTTGGCACGAACACGAATCTCATGACGGAAAAGACGTCATCTACCTTCGAGGAAGAAGTGAACTTGGAACATGCATAATCGAGATACCTGAACTCAGTTCATAATAATACTAATTTAAAATCTTACCAGTCTACTCCTTTTACAGGAAGGAAGACCGAAGTTGGAGACAGAAACCCATCTATCACTCGGTGATTCATTGTACGAGGATTACTTTAGAGACGTGAATGGGTTTACCAAAGGTATTTTTGCCATTTACAAAACACGGGCATAAAGTTAAGCTGCTTCTTGGTCGTTTGTGACGGCACTGTCTTCGTAGACGTTAATTAGGTTTCATGTCGACAATCTGACTTGAACTCTCAATGGATTAATTCCATGCGTATCATACAAACCAAGAGTGTGAATGTTGACTACCATTTCACCGACTGCCCTTTACATGAGAGGTTTGTAGTGTCACAATCGTTTATGATGTTTTGCCTTAAAATCTCAGTCAAGATGTCAAGAGGATGCTTTCAAGAATCAAAAAGTGCTCCGTCTGAAGAATTTTCCCCATCGGGATAACGAATCAGGAAGCGGTAATGCTGTTGTATGCAAAAGCAATAAATCAGGGAAGTGGGTCCTCTACACTGGCCTTTTCAAGTTCTGCCTCGCATTAGTGTGCAGAATGATATGTGACCTAAAGGACCATGAAACAGTTCATCTCTTCGCCTTGATTGCTTCATCACAACAATTTGATGATTTTTGCGGATTACACAGACTTTCATGCATTCCCCATTTATCGGTCCTCACGCCACATGCCATTTCGCACAGCAATTAGCAAGTATACATTCAGCTCAATAATCCAACAAAAACACCCAAAAGGAAATTGTTCCAGTTAGTTCTAGGAACCTTTTGATATATGCAATCGAAAAATCCAAATGTCTTTCCTACCATTAAACCACACTTCCTGCAGTGGATGCCCCCAAGCTTTACAAAGTCTGGCCGAGATGAAATTTTCTTATATCTGTGGTTCCAATTAGGATTGCGGATCAGTGGCATTCAGTGTTTGACTAGTGTGTAAAAATTACTGCTCAGGTTAGAAGGATAATAGATGTTACAAGTCAGCCATGATAGAGACCAGAATTCTTCGCCAGATCCATTCAATCATTGTGTCTACGATTCCGTTTGAGAAAACCTTGCAGAAGTCAGACCTTCGGCCTTCGGTGGAAAAGCCTAGCCAATTAGAATTATGCGCTAGGCTTCTATGCACCACTGGTCTACTGCAGTTTCAGAATTGAAAGAGCAGGACAATTTTTCGCTAATCGGTTATTCTAGGTGAAGACCTTGCATGTTTACTTACTACTTCCTCATCAGATTGCCGAGTGGTGCTGGAAGTATTTACAAAATTTTCCCATTCATTACCCATACAAGATTCTGATATAGGCTTTGGCAATATTACTAAAAGGCCCCTTTAGTACGTCTAAGTGGTTTAGCCAATTATTTCAATATGATCTGTCCTTCTTTCTCTTACCATCTCGTTGAACACCAAAAAGCTAATTGTTGCTCAAAAGTCTCTCCTTTTCAGCTCTGGAAAACTACCTCTATTGAATGCCAAACCATCCTATTGGGAGGCTTTGATCTTTTACAAATACTATATTCTCTTTCCATTAGACGCCTTTGAAACTTTCGAGATGACTCTACTCAGTCAAGCCAGTCGACTTATTTGTAGTAGTCATACCTCTGCATTAGATTGCTTCAAGGTGCGTTTCTTTATTTTAGAGTAATTACTGATGGAAATAATTGATAACCGTTTGCTTAAGATGTATAAAGTAAAATTGGCGCTGGTGATTACAAAGTAAATTCCCTCCTCCTCATCTATCAACTTCTGATGGGACTGAGTTGCACCAAATCTATTTGGACGGCATGTCTTTCATTCATTAGGTGTAGCTCTAGTTTTGTACATAAATGTCTTAGGTAATGAGTTTCCCAAACATGAAGTATGCATTGTCTTCCCCGTTAAATATCCTACTCTACTAAAAGCCACACGAACTTATTTGACCTCATCAGCTTCGCCTCTTGCTATTAATGTCTTTTTTCTGAAGAATAAATTCCAACACAGGGACAATTGTAGGCCTGATTGAATCGGTGGCAAAATGCTGCCTACAAGGAAGAAATCTACATTTTGCCGTTTTGAGACAAATGCGTGCCATAAATTCAAATGGCAGAAAACAATGCATCCCATTTCATTGGGGTAAATTGTTGGAGGATATGCGACAATGTTCCTTCAACCAGCCTCTGCGAGGTAGAACGAAGTGCTTGCTGATCAACTTTGTCATTAGAAGAGGAACAATTTGTTCTACCAAAGTTAGGTCGTGAAGTTGCTGACTGCAAAATATTAACATTGAATGAGAATTAGGCCTCAAATTTGCTTCCTCCAGAAGTAACAATATAGTTTTTCACGATGAGCTTGCTCCACATTTCCCTTCATGCAAACAGTTGGCACTAGACCATAGGTATCAAGCGTGGGTCAAGTTCCTTTCAACGGTGGTGCAGGAGCCGGGTCAAAATAACCTTGTATCAGCTACATTGCCGGTCGAAAACCGACTCATGGCTCTCAAATGCTCCGCGCACGATGAATGAGGAAAAAAAGCCGTATTGGATTCAACGTTTACCTTCAGTGTTTTCGCCAAGTAGGCTTTAGAAATCTCAAATTTCTGTTATTTTTCAATATTTTTTTGGAATGTTACGCATAATAATGCGTGTAAATTAAGAACACACGCAGCATTTTTGACTCCTTTTGCGTCCTTGCGGGTATTTTTGAAAGACCATCGAGCATCTTTCTTTTTCATTCAGTTACTCAAATTGAGCCACTAATGGAGCTTGATGGAACAAACTTTGCTTAAGCAGTACTAAGACACTTGACCACATTTTCTCCATATTAAAGTGTAAACATCATCTAAATAGATTATTCTCCTCTGGGTAGTTGTTAACATAACTATTTATGCCTTTCAAAATAGGTCGATTCACGGTCATTTAAAAAAAGGAATTTAGAACAAAAAGATGGGAAGCTAAAAGCTTGAGATATTTTCAAGCTTCATCACTAGGAGAAATTCTGCATTCCGATTCGAAAGTGTGACTAAATTAGGAAAAATTAGATGTGGTTTTGAAATCTGGTTCATTCTATAAGTGTGGGCAAAGCTGTTGTGCTTTGATGGATTGTTTAACTCTGCGTTTAAATAAGCGGGCACTTAAATACCCATAGCTTGTACCCATCTAAGTGGTGTCATTTTTACATAAATATAGAGGTATTTATAGATTATTCGACAAGTCAAGCCAAATCAAACGCATTTGTTACAATCCTAATGATGATGTAAGTGGAAAGTCAGCGCCTTGTTCTCAAATGTGTTCCTTAAAGGCGATATCGGTCCTTGATAAATTAAATGCTCTCCTTAGGATCTTCAACCATTTATAGTGACTGTAAATCCAAGTCATATTTAATCTACCTTAAGAAACAACTCTGCAAATGAAGCTTTTCGGTAAGAATTAATGCCTACTCATTTCCAACTCAGTAGTAAGCGTGCTTCGCGCATTAAGCACAGAGAAAAGTAATTCCTTAGAATGCAATGTCAATCAGTGGTATTAAAAGGAGGCTTGTCATTTACTCTTTTGTAAAATAAGATTGCAATTTCTAGAAGTTGGTGCATGTCGACGTGTAATCTATTTAAAAGCCAAAGATAAGCCAGTATCCCTAAGGGTAGCACGTTATAAATGTTTCCGCATTCGATATATACGACGGGCTTTTAAACGAAGTTTATGAGAAAGAATTTAGCAAGAGTAAACGAATGGAATAGAAGTAGGTAAAATAGACGAATATTTGAACAAAATAAAGACTACATCTTTTTACAGTGATACCGTTGAAAACTACTGAAAAGGGTGGGCATTTTGATTTAATGGCAGTAAGAATCGTTGAGTTTGTTCAGATACACATTAAAACGTATTTGTTTCCATCCACATATTTCTTTAAAAGAACACGTGGTTACATAAGATGAAATGAAATTTGCCTTCCACAACGTTACCAATCATTCGTTGGCGTGGATTTTAAGGACATTAAGCAAAATTAGAGTAACAAATACTGAATAAGTTATCGTGATTCTCGAAATACAACTAACCAGCATCTCTATTTTCCTACATCACTTAAGCACATGTGCATCTTTAATTCAGACTTATCACATTTCCATAACAAGTATCTTGTTTATAAATCCAAGTAGGAATAAAAAATTCTCTTCATTGTGCACCCTTGGTGACAAGTGAAGAAGCGGTTATCAGTGGATAGTCTTTACTAGAGCAAAACAGTATTCTTAATTCTTCACATAATCCAATCTCGCAGGTATGTACTTGCTACGACCTCAAGCTATGTCTAAATTACTTCTATTAATAAAGCCGAATAAAGAATTTCCCTGAATTTTTTTTGGAAGCTACCGTAGTTACCTATACTAAGTCGGTTCACGTAATGGCACGTTTCATATGCCTAATTTTGGATGCATTACTTTAAAAGAAATATCCACCGATAGTCATAGTGTGCCTGAACACACCCTTTGATGCTACTGCCAGAAGTAAACACTCTAATCTGTGTAGTTTAATAATACGAAAATAAATTAAAGATTTGGCAGATGGTGGATGGTGCACATTCTTCAACCACTAAATGCATAGATTGTGGTTAACATCCTGGAAATCACCACACCTGGCCTACTTCACCAACATAGACGTCAGTACCACCCTATTGCTTTCATTGCGACAGCTTCCTACCGCACCATGATATGAGTTAAAATTATATTAGACAGTACTTCTACGATTGCGTCCATCAACGCACATTGACTACTTAAGTTGATTTGGTTCGCTGGCAATAATAAACACGTTCTTTAATCCAGTCCTATCTCCTCCAATATCATTAGCGAACCGCACACATTTTTCCTTTACAGTGATTCTGGTGGTGGCGACTGTGGTTACTGAGCATTGTACCAATAGAATCATTCTTAGCATTAGTCAAAACCGCATGATTGTAACTAATGCGATCATAAAGACGAGGTGCCTGTGCTCTGAGGCTTAGAAAATATTAATTACCGTAGAGAAAGGGAGCTACTGTGCATAATAAACAAGCCGACCTTTCATCAAAACCGCAAACTTTTTCTCTGTGTGCAAAGTGTGATTCTGTAGGCTTGCCAAATCGGTTGCTTAGCAATTGAAAGAGATGCCGCAGTAGATCGCAGCACCCACAAACGACGTGTCAGTCGCAGATGTATGCATTACCTCCGGAAATACCCCTCGCTCGTTTTAAAGAAACATTTGCCATCTTTTTTAAAGTAATTTTGGACTGACTTCATTAAAGCGGTTTATTTATAAGTTATAGAAGATGCCAATCCAATGAGTATCACATTGACCGATGGACCAGATCAAGATGCAGATACGACAACAAGATTGTTAGCACTTTTGTCGCACGTTGAATAACTCAAAGCAGTTAGAAGTCAAAATAGATGATTATATGCCCTCACCACAAAAGGAATGGGCAGCACCGCGAGCAAGAAAAATAAACTCAAAGAACTTCAAACCTCTAGAGCTAGATAGAACATGAATTTCTGTTGTTGGTTCAGCACTGCTCGCTGAGGGATAAGACTGTCCAAGTTCGGTGCATTACGACAGGCCTGAGACACTGGAAAGTGGATGTTGCTGGTGGGAAGCGGTAAAATGCATCACAAAGGCATCGTAGTGGGGACCTAGTCTTGCCATCACATCATTGCCAATGCTATTCAAATTAACAATTTGGGTCTGCCGAAGTGATGAAAGCGTCACCACTGCTGCAAATAGACTAAAATTTATTTGCAAGTTGTCCACACGAACAAGATGCTTGTAGATAATATATAACTGAATTTCATAAGGCGCAGTTTACAGCAATACAAATGCACCCTTATTCTGACAGCGCAGAATAACTTTCCATTCATGATGTTATTTAACACCTAGTGGTCTCAATCGCATACCAATTGCCATAAAATGATTTAAGTAGTAAGTTAGTAAGTTCCGTGGAGCTAGATCGTCCATAGGATGCATTGAGTACATGAGTGGATTTCTTTCACTGTTTGTCTCGGAGGCCAGTATTGCACCACAGATCATAGGAATAATCAACCCAACAGAGTCTTTTAATTTCTGACAAGGAGCAGAAAGCTGAACCAAACTAAGATTGCAGGAAGATAACTCTACGCAGTATGCACACTTGAGTGATGGCAGCACTAATTCGACTCCCTTTTTAAACCTTACATTCTGGAACGATTGTGTCATTAGAGGCATCTAAGGGTGCTGTATGTTCTAGGTCCTGACCTAGAGTGATTGACCATCCGCCATGCATTGCGCACACATTATTAGCTAAAGAAATAAATGCCTTATTGCTTAAGACGTACAACAAATAGAAGAGTCGCCAGACCAAAATCATCCGGGATTGAATGGGTATTTATGCCTTCCTTTAGTGCTGCCGCAGTGCATACACTGATTGCTTTTTTGGCTAATGGATGAATTACTTTACTGCCCTCGACACGATAAGTAGCTGCAAGTGATCATTGGAAGAATGACGCATCTAGATGGGCAAACCGATGAGTCCATATAAAACAAACAGGTCATCTCCCAGCACAATGGGCCCCTTTGTGGTGCTAAGATAAAAGGAATTATGGTTATCTCTGGCTCAAGTATTTGCGATAACTAATTTCCCACCCTACCTCATGTGATATTACCTATTAGACGTGGGCTAGTATAGCTTCTCTATAAAGCATTGATACGTAGCCTCCGATTGAAATAGCTGAAATTCCCTAATACAGACAGTATTTTCCGTTAACTAAAAAGTAACAAAAAACATATCATTAGCTTGCAGTGGTTGGCTAAGACAAAATTACACCCGAATGAAGACCATCTACAAATAAATGTTAGTGAAAAGCTAGTTCACATTTTCGTAGGGGAAACTTAAGCCTATGTTATTGACATTACCCCACACTTCTCTTAGGAGACCTTTACATGAGACGATTAAAATACTCCTCTCCACCCATCCAAACCATTATATTTTCAAAGGTAGAACATTATCAAAGGTGGTGTTAAAAAGGCTTATTTTTTGTAGCCGGAAACGTCAGTTCCGGCAGACGCAAGTTACAAGGGTATGCGTGCTCTGGCTAAGTTCATTAAAAGTGAACTAAATCATGTTGTACAGACAAAATACAAATGACGTTATATATGAAAATCCAACGTTATTCAATGGGGCTGAGAACAGCTAAAAAGAGAAGACGCATAAATGTAAGGGACAGGCAACAGTAATTTGTGGCATATCTGAGACAAAAGAGTCATGCACAATTAGTCAAACAAGATTACAAAGAGAAACATAGGGGAAGCACACACAAATACACACATACATCGGTATCCGAGGAATCTGATTACATCACCAGAAATAATCCTTACAACGAAGGAGAGGAGCCACACACATATACACACAAGGGTAAGAGGAAAGCAAATCACGAAAAGAAATGATAGTCGTGCAAGACAGTGAAAGCTTAGAGGAGGATACAACAATAACGCTAACTTTGGCAATAAAGATATAAGCATACACACACGGAACTATGACATAAGGAACTAGGGTCTATGGATGTGCCATCTCACTCACATATGGGATTATAAAATCATTTTCACTGCTAAGTGTTTATGTTCCCACTTCTGCCGGCAATAGTGAAAATGGCTGTGGAAAAATTCAAAGAAACACAGATAGAGTTGCCTTTAGTTCCGCCTTTTAGCTATATAAACGAAAAAGGAAAGTTTGTTAAAAATTTGACGCTCACAGCAAACATAATCATAATAGCAACTTGGAAGACTCAAATAACATTGATTATACATCTCAGTCACCTTTAGGGCGTTTCAACTCCACCCTTAGCCGCTTACTCCCCATTACGTAGCCATTCATTTCGGTAATTGCTCGATGGGCACTACTTGGATTGTCGTAGCTAACAAACCCTAGGAAATCAAAGAATGTCCACTTTAATCGACCATGAACGGTGAGATAGGAAGTCAACATAAACCAAATGCAATGCAAAGACATACCAAAGCATTTACTCATATATGTAGCGCGATTAACAAAAATCTTTGTACTGATAATCCTTCCGAAGGGTGAAAAAAGTTTGAAAAGATCTATAGCATCACACTCTTGAGGCAGAAAATTTATGAATAGGTTGCAGTCTTCAGGGCCAGTTATCACTGGCCCTGGAGCAACGGATGGCTGATTAAGGGGTGCAGCTAACACCTGGACAGGGATCTGTCTCTCCGCGGCAACTAAAGGCAAAGGGACTCAATTGATGAATTACCTAATTTAAAAAGGGTGAGTGAAAAGAAAATGAAAGGTGTGGACTCACGCAAACTGTGTTGCGGATAACTGAGGGCAGATGCTTGAGTAACTGAAAGCAAAGCACAGTGGCAGATGACTATAATAGAAGAAATTTCAAATCAAGGATATCAGAGGCTACCTACCTGCGCCGTCATAGGGAATGGCTTGTGAGGGAATAAGAGGGTTTAGGATCAAGCTGGCAAAGACTTGTTGCTGCTGTGGGTTAGGCTGAGCCATATTAATGGCCATGGCTTGTGCGGCGGGACCGACTTGGAGTGTACCTGAAGGTGCTATCGACTGTGCGAAGGTGACGGGCCGCACTACTATGGGCTGTCCCTTTATAGGCTTGTAAAGGGCATCCATCGTCGAGGCCGCATTGTTGGCGGTCGACCCCGCATAGACGTCTATATTAGCAGTGGTTTTTAGCCGCATTAAGGGAAGAGTTACTGCAGCTGTCGGTAAGGTGTTAATCGAAAAACTGTCTGGTGGAGCAGTGAAAATTGGTGTGTAAATATCCTCAACTTGTTCTTGCACAGGTGGCACTCCTGAAGCCGTTGTAGGAGTCTAAAATGATATAACAGATGAGTGCATATTCGTTCCAATTCCTGGCCATATGTAATGTTAACGATAGTATTTGAGTCAGGAGTGGCCAATGCGGGCATTAAACCTTATTAACTAGACTTTCGCGGTATTTACTGCCCGAATGAATAGGTAAATGTTGTCACCAGAAGTGATTACGGTGTGAGCAGGTGGCATGCAGTGACCCTAACCATTATTTGCGTGAGTGCTAAAGAAAACAGTGGAATTCATCATGACATTTGCCGGCAGCACAGGATCCATGATTTGCTGGTAAGGGGCGACAAATTTTGCCATATCAGGACCACCAAGACAGACCAGGGCGAAACATGACCTTAGAAATGATAGTGGCACATAAGCATTTAATTGATGCACCAATTTGATTCCTTCCAAATATCTTCTAGAAATTCCACTGGCTACCGCATGTGACAGTAGACTGAAGGGTCTCTATTCAAAGCAGCCATTATTGTTAACCACCATAAGTCACGGATACTGTCAGAACTGCACTACAACAATTCAAAGTACTTACGGTTGATGAGAAATTTTCAGCCGAAGGCAATGCCTGATCAGTTCCTGTTTCATCGGGTACGTGTGCCGAGGAGACACCTTTTTTTAAAGTAAAAAAATGGCAAAACAATCCGAAAGATGATTTCAGCATATCAAAAGAAACAAATCATAGCCTATCATATCAATGATTATCAACACATTGAATCTATTGTCAGTAGGTCCACCAATTTAATAGGCGTTGACCAGCAGTCGCCCATTCCTTCAACACTAAGATTGATCCCAGCCTTCAAACAGTTACTTAGAGATTGCCAACAAAGGAGGGCACTTTTAAATGGCAATAAAGCTGTTAATTCCTGAACGAATCACTTCTCTAGATGTGTATCACTACTGAATTGACGTACATAAATGCGAAGTAGCACGCATTCTGCCTCTGCTCGATCTCTTGCGAATGCCAAAAAACAGAGCACTAAGGGTCTTAAATGCCCTTTGTTTCTCTTCAGGCACGAAGGCACAGCAGTGCCATCTGCATTACGTGGGTTTTCGAGGCTACTAAGCCATCCATCATACCAGCAATTTGCCTGCCATTTCTCAGTTTCAGTGGACTTGTAATGAAAAGATTGGAAAACTTTCAAACTACTTTTGTAAGACTGGTAAGTTAATAAAAAGATTATTAGGAAAGCGAAGGCATTAATAAGCAAACGCTGTTATATTCTAGAATTAGTGCAAGATAATGATATAATGAATAAAAAAAATACTCACTAGATTCTCCATTCTCCTGATATCGCGAAACAATCGCGACTTTAGAACTGGCCAATTTTGTTGTGGTATTCAGATGCTGAGTCGATGTGGGAGATGGGTTAGCATCCATGCTCTATTAATATCGAAATAAGAAGAATCAATCAAAAGTGATTTCAAGTTTATGACACTGCAAAATGCAAATCCACTCCAGTGTTTTGCAACAACTACTTAGACCATTTCGGTATTTATGCATTCCTTTGATTTGTCCGCAATGTGTACTCTAATCACTCGTTGGCTAATGGATAAATTAATTCATCCTCAATCGGAAAACTGATCGAAATTGACCAATGGGAGGATTGGGCATTTGATTGGACAAACTGAGGCATCAATACAACATTTGAGATAGCGTTTTTTGAATAACAGGTCAGGTATCTTTGAAGCTATACCCAATTTGGTTTTGGTATAGGTAAAATTTTTATCGCCACCCCTAGTAAACAAATGCACTGATTATAACCTGTGTCTTTTGCAAATGAATGAGAGTTTGACCAGCATATCAGCGGAACATTGACACATCGATGGCGCTCTCATTGGCCGAAATTGTCTAACTGCCTTCTAAAATTGACAATACTTTGACACTGTTGTACAGGGAAGGAAACCTTTTTAGTTGTACAGGTATCTCATTATGCAGTACAGTCTTGGCTGAAACAGGTAGAGTTCCATTGAATACGGTATTCTTAAGTAAACTCACTGAACGTAATTGGAGAAACACGAAGAGTCTTGATACCGACAAAGCCCTGGTAAAGGAGAGGTTTCTTACATCCTCACACAAAAAACAGCTTAATAGGTGACTTCTTCGAGTTAATGAACCAGACAGATGTAGCACGAGTGATTAAATGTCTCTTTAGATGATGAGCTTTTATTTTGTAAAAAGCTACAATCTCCATGGTATCCAGTGGTTGCAGACGTTGCTGGATCATGTGGGAAAACACGACATGCTAGACGTTTCGAGAAGAAGGTACTCGTGGCTTCCACTCGATTCCGGCGTATTTGAGATCTGTCAAACCAGTGCAACTTTCAACAGCTTCAAAAAAACCTCAGCTCACATTAGCTGCAGCAACCCAAAATACGGTCAAAAGGCTTCCCAAGCATAAGAGCTGTTATTAACATCATGCCTTCTCTACCATCACCAATGGGAAAAACCAATATATATTCTCGTTATAGTAGACTACGTCATGGAAACAGCTAAATCAGAATCCACAAAGAGAATAGGTGAAAACGGTTGTTATAGTTTCCTTTGATGCTGAATTTGTCAACAGGTGGTGCTCGAAGCAGTGCGCATCTATCATGCCTCTACTTTCGAAAGTTGACTCTTTACTGAAGTATGCAAGACCGTCAGGCCCTCTAACACACGTACGACACCTTGACTTTTGCTTAGTAGTATACAGGTGGAAAAAAAGGGCCGCAATATGATTGGGCTACTGAAAGCTTTCAGTATGAATGTACAAGTGAATGACTAAGATTTAAGTCTTGATGGTGTCTCCATACATATGGAGTGGTGGTCCATATATCAATCAACTTCTTGCTGTCTAAAGTGCTCACAATTCGGAGAATGAGAGTATCAACCAGTATATTTTTTTATTAAGCATGGAAGTAGCAATCAGCAATGTCATGGTACATATTACTGCCGGAGAAAGGAGTATGTCAAGCTTTTAACATCACACGGGAACACTTACGACTGTCATATAAAAGACAAAGAAAATAGAACAAATACGGCCAGCCTAATGTGTGCCAAGAAGGTACCAAACGCAGCTATACAGGCTGAGCCTATCTCCTAGGGTACACCACGGTTTCCAACATACTAGGATAAAGTGTGCTTTCAAAGTGATAAGTCACATTGCTAAAAACTGCTTAACTAGTTACCATTCAGTACAGCAAAATGGTCCCGTAAATGGATTAACAGGCTGTCAGATGCAAAGGTTAAGCTTATTTGCTAACGCAGGAAAGAAGACTATTAGAATAGATGTATACAATGACCATTTTGAGGGGACCATTAGGGACGGTGCTCAGAAAGACGATGAAGCCATGTAATGCATGCTTGCCTGATTGCGCCCTTTGGGCAAGGGACGTTCAGTAAACACGAAGCTCGTGATAAAACGATCGTCAACTACCATTAAGGAGGAAGTGGATTCTGAACATGCATCACGGTAATACTTGAAGACGGTTCATGATATCACTGGTTCACAATATTATCAGTCTACTCGTTTCACGAGAATCAAGGCTGTGAATAAAAAATAAGCACCGATTTTAATGTATCTATCGCTCACTGGTTTATTGCACGAGGAACACTTCAAAGCAGTGAATGTGTTCCCAACTAGTAATGCAAATGATCATAACCAAAGGTATTATTGCTGTTTACAAAACACAGACAAAGTTAAGCAATTTATGAAGCTTTTGCAAAGGCACCATCCTGATAGGGACCAATGACGTCTAGCAATATTAATTGGACTTGTACTCTCTGTAGAAACATTCACTGAGTATTATACAAACCAATAGTTTGAGTCGCCAACCACTTCTAGGTCGGCACTTTAAACGAGAGGTTCTCATTGACACGACTGTATGAGATTTTTTACAAAATCTTAGTTAAGCTGCCAAGCATATACTCTGACAAACTTGAAAATGCTCAGTAGGCAGATTTTTTCTCATTAAGAAGACGAATTGGCTAGACGTTATGAGGTCGCACGAAAAGGCAATAAATCAAGGGATTGGATTCTCCACATTTATTTTCTTAAATGTTGCCCTGCACCAATGATACATAGACTGATATCTGATCAAGGGAACTATGAAGCAGCTCATCGCCTGTTCCCAATTATTTTGTCACAACGATTTGATGATTTCTGGAAATCATATAGACTTATTTGGGTTACGCATTTATCAGCCTCCACGCTATACGTCACTATATACTGCAGTTAGCACGTACTTATTCGACTTGCTTTTCCAATAAAACTAATGTAAATGCAATTACCTTATTTATTTTCAGACCCCTATTGATAAAAGTGCACTAAAAATTTTCAATTTACTGCCAAAGGTACAAACACTCAATACCTTCAAAGCCTAGCCGAGATGATGTTTACTTTTTTTAGGTTCCACGCAAGATTGCGAGTCAGTGTCATTCAACTTTGGAATAGTACGCACAAATTGCTGTTTAAATTAGAAGGGCAGTAAATGCCACAAGTCAGCCATAATGTAGACCCTAATCCTTGGAGGGATTCATTTATTCAGTGTGTCTACGATTCTATTCGAGATAACATCTCAGAAGTTGGACCTTCCCTTTTCAATGGATAAACCTACCCGATTAGAATTGTCCACTACAGCTTCAGTATAGATGGCGCAGCCACACCAAATGTCGTGTAAAAATAGAAGTCGTTAATATTTCAGCGGAAAAATTTGGCTTCATTCAGTTAGTCTAATGGTAGACTGTTCATAGTTAACAACTACTCCCCATCAAATTTTGACATAAAGCTTGGAAATTTTACTACAATGGTCCTTTAACACGCCTGCACGATTTGGCTAATCAGCTCAATGGGGTTGGTCTCCTCTTCTAGTACCATCTCACCGGACACCGGGAAGAAATCATTGCCCAGATATTACACTTTCCTTTCCAACTTTGACGATCCGCCTCCACTGAAACCTAGATCATTTTTGGGGAGGCTCTGGTCTTGTACAAACACTTTGTTCTCTTCCTATTCACTTTTATTGGAACTTTCTTTTTGGCTCCACTATATCACTAGGTCGACTTTTATGAATGATTATTTCCTCCTGCATGAGATTGCTTTAAGGGACATACACTTATTCCAATGTGATTGTTTAGTAAACCACTTGGCTGTTCTGTGCTTAAGATGGCCAATGTAAAAACTACTTTTACGACAGATAATTGCAAAACAAATCCTCTCTTACCCATTTATCACCATTGAAAGGGTCCAAAAACATCATGCTTACTTGGATAACAAGGATCCCATTTATCAAGTATATATCTAGTTCGTTCATAAATTTCTCAGGTCACACTCAACACGCCATAATCTTGAGAGGTTGGTAAAGAGTTTTCTGAGCATAATGTCCACTTTACTGCTCCCTGTTGAATGTTCTGCGCGATCAAATTCCACACACAGTTAATTGACTTCATCAAATTTGCCTTATGCTGTCATGCACTTTTTCACGAAAATGAATTTCAATGCCAGGGCAATTATAAGTTTGATTATGTTGGAGGAAAAGCCATGCATGTAAGAAAGAAATTTACAAAGTCGCCACATTGAGATATATATGCACCCTAAATCCACACAGCAGAAAACATCGAGTCTCGGTGCATGTGATGGGCTGATGGAAACAAATACGACAACGCCCACTTAACCAGCCTCCTCAAGACTAAATGAGGCGCCTTTTAACCAACTGTCAGTCTTCGGTCTGTGCAGACACTTCATTGCAAGAGGAACAGTTCACTTAACTAGCGTTGAATCATGAAAATGTCTGTGGCGAAAAATTAGTTTAAAGTGGGAGTGGACAGCAAATTGCTTCCTTTAGGAGTGGCGACCAATCCTTCTTACGATATGTTCTTTTGGTATTTCTCCCCATGCATTTCATGGTCACCATAGCATACGTTTCGTGTGTAGGCCAAGTTGCCATCAACGTGATGTAGATGCAGAGTTAAAATGATTTTGATTCCATTCAGTTACACTGCCAATCTAAAATCCATTCGTACTTCTCAAATACTTTGCGTAAGATTAGTAAGTAAGTGAGATGTAATGGAATCAACGGCTATAGCTCCATTCCCATAATACCCGAGAGCTGATTAGATTGAAGCATCTGCTTTGGAATTACTATGAAGAGGGTTTAGTGATCACCAATTTGCAGACTCAAAGTTCACTACTTCCTCAGAGGTAGCTGACACCCGTTCCACCGCAAAATTTCTGCTCAATGAACGCTTCTCGCCCAAGTGATATAATCAAGCAAATATGTTTTACATAGACATTTCTGATACAAAAGGAATGGAGCCTAAAAAAATCCCATCATTTACACATACGTACGCGTTTTCTCCTTAAAATAGCATTGAAAGTGAATGCATTGGAGTGGCAAAAT